CCCTATGACCAAACAAAAAAACCCACAAAGCAGTGGGGCGCTGTAATCCTAGCTACTCTGGAGGCTGAGATCTGAGGATTGCAGTTCAAAGCCAGCGTGAGGAGACACACTGGAGAGACCCATATCTCTAATTAATCAGCAAAAAGCTGGTACTGGGGTATGATTCAAAAGTAGAAGCGTGCCTCTCTGGTAAGCACAGTCCTGAGTTCTTTCCCCAACACAAATTTATAATGGTAGTTATTATTACTTGGGTAGAAACAGTGTATTTTGCTTTTGGGTGCTACATAATGTTGTACAAATGAGAAAAATAGGTTAGGGTGAGTTCTGTTCCCACTGGACCTGTGGAAATGTGGTACCTTACCGAGAGGCGCAGGTTGAGACATGCAGCTTCCTCCCGACTCGGACCCACAAGAAGGAAGAGCTCCGTCTGACACAGCTACCTCTCTGTGTTGGGAAATCTTGACGAAAGCAAGCAGGTGGAGACACCTGCAGCGGCAGTTTCTGCTCCTGAGTTGTGACTCATGCTCAGAGTCGGGTGGCTTGTCTGCGGTGGATACCTGAGGAGCAGAGGGCTAGGAAGGTGCTTTCCTGCTTATATTCATCAGTATCATGAAGTCTGTTTGCATTTGCAATATACTAGTGTTTCTAGGTAAGCCAGTTTTGTTCTGAAAATGAGAATGTAGTTTTAAAAAATTCAGTGCAACTTTAAAGTCCTCAAATTCTACTATTTCACTGGCACCTACACACTTGTTAACTTGGAAGACTACCGTTAGTTAAAAGCATTTTTTTTTTTTTTGGTTGGTCGTGGGGCCTGAACTCTGAGCCTGGGCGCTGTCCCTCAGCTCTTCAGCTCAAGGCTAGCGCTCTAACACTTGAGCCACTTCCAGCCTTTTCTGCTTATGTGGTGCTGAGGAATCCAGCCCAGGGCCTCATGCATGCAGGCAAGTGCTCTACCACGGAGCCACTTTCCCAGCCCCAAAGCAATGTTTTTTTAAGCATTGTTAGATTTGTCCTAGTGTGTTTGGTAAAATATATGAATGAAATAGCAACTGCTTTAAGGTGGTTGCTTGTTGAGGAAAAGCTAACTTGTTTAAGTGAAGCCATTACTACTTCTGCTCAACTGGGGCACACTAGTCCTTGTTCCCTGAGCTCAGTGACAGCCCTGTGCTGGGTTACTGGGGCCCACCACTCAGGCTGCTGCTTATCCTTCAGGAGGTTCTTTGTGGGTCTTGCTGCCAGAGGTGAAAGACTGCTTTTCCTTCTCAGAGGATGGGACTAAAGCTATTAGAATGACTGTGTGATTAGTGGCCACAGCAAGAGCTGAAGTGGCCCGGCTGGTTCTTCCACTGACAGCTGTGAGAAGGGCTTCCCCTGGGGCCCCTGGGATGATGGTTGAGCGCAGCAGGGATGCCTGCAGGTGGGTGTGCAGCTCCCTGTCCAGGAGCGGGCTGGAGCCACCCAGGCTGTCCCTGCCCGCTTAGACCACACGTGCCCACAGTTTCCCAGTCACTTGGGAAAAGCCTTACGAGAAAGCTTGAATTGGGCAGGACCCCTGTGCTGTGCTCTTGGGGATGGGCCTCATGGAGGGAGCTGGAAAGCAGCCTGTGACAGTCTCTTGCACAGTCTGGCTTCGTGGGCACGTGCAGTTTGGTGGGGAACTCTTCATTCTGAGAGGCTGAAGCCAAGTCTACCTTGTCCTCTGACTCTCCTGTGCCCAGGTAGATGACTCGGCGTCTGGGGTCTGTATTCCCATTGGCCACGCCACCCTAGGACACCTGGGTGAACAGGACTCTGGTCAACTTGCCCAGACAGGGGTCCAGTGTCCCCAGCCTCAGGGCAAAGCAGAAGGCTGGGTGGTTGGAACCTCTGCGTCTTGTCCTTGGAGAGGGCAGAGCAGGCTTGTCAGGCTTGTTGATTTAAGTTTCTTTGTTTCATCCTCTTCTCACTACTCAGTATTCTAGTTTAAAATAGTGATTCAGTACACGTAACTGGCAATTCTAAGAATTCAAGGTGAAGTGTGACCCTTCAGTATTATGGACGGGAGCCCACGTTTCCCTGGTCAGAGGGAAACAGGTCCTTGGCTAATTCCTTTTCCTAGAAAACATGATTTTATGGGTTTTAAAAGCAAGACTATTCTATAAAAACTTTAGCTGGGGTAAAAATCATTGTCATTCTTTCCCTACAGATGACTCATTTTCAATATCTTGAAAGTGCTTTCTTTTCCTAATAAGCTCCTCTCTCTCTCTCTCTCTCTCACACACGCACACACGCGCACACACCCCTACACCCCCCCACACCCTTTCTCTCTCTCACACACACACACACCCCCACCCCCACCCCCACACACACCCACACACGCATGCACATGCACACACATGTGCACATACACACACCCTCTCTCTCACACACACACACGCACACACGCGCACACACCCACACCCCTACACCCCCACACACGCGCACACACACACACACCCTTTCTCACACACACACACACCCTCACCCCCCCCCCCACACCCCACACGCATGCACACGCACACACGTGCACATACACACCCTCTCTCTTACACACACACATGCACACCCCCCCTCACACACACACACCCTCACACCCACACACCCCCACCCCCACACCCACCCCACACACGCATGCACATGCACACACATGTGCACATACACACACCCTCTCTCTCACACACACACACGCACACACGCGCACACCCCCACACCCTTTCTCTCTCTCTCACACACACACACCCTCACACCCACACACCCCCCCCCACCCCCACACACACCCCACACACGCATGCACATGCACACACATGTGCACATACACACACCCTCTCTCTCACATGCACACACGCACACACGCGCACACACCCACACCCCTACACCCCCACACACGCGCACACACACACACCCTTTCTCTCACACACACACACCCTCACCCCCCCACACACCCCACACACGCATGCACACGCACACACGTGCACATACACACACACTCTCTCTCTTACACACACACACACGCACACCCCCCTCTCACTCACACACACACCCTCACACCCACCCCCCACACCCCCACCCCCACCCCCACCCCCACCCCCCACACGCATGCACATGCACACGCACACACGTGCACATACACACACCCTCTCTCTCTTACACACACACACGCACTCCCCCCTCACTCACACACACACACACACACACACACACACACACACACACCCTCACAAAGCTCTTTTTCTTTTGGTACATGTCCCAGGGCTTACGCTCAGCCTGGCTGCTGTCCCTGAGCTCTTATGCCCAAGGCTAGCACTCTACCACTTGAGCCACAGGTCCACTGGTCCACTTCCAGATTTTTTTGTAGTTTTTAGTGGAGTTAAGAGTCTCACATGCTTTCCTGCTTGGGCTGGCTTTGAACTGCGATCCTCAGAGGTAGGATTATAGGTGTGAGCTACCTGTGCCCAGGCCCACAAAGCTCTTAGTAGCATATAAGTGCAATACTTAAAATTTCAGTTTATATGAGAATACTTTTAAATACCAAATGCAGCGGGTGGATAGCTTTGTGCAGGTCTTGGTTGGTTTTGTAAAGTCTAAGACGGTTCACAGAAGCCATTGTGTGTGTTAGGACAGGTGGAGCTTGAATGTCTCCTGCAGGCTGGCCACTTGAGTTGGCCAGACGGCCTTTGTAAGAATGCCTCTTCCCCTCCTCCTCTTGTTTGAAGCCGGTATTCCTGTCTTGGGGTTTAGAGTAAGGCTCTTGGGATTCCTTTTGTTGACTGCGGTCTCCCAGCTGGGGCTCTGCTGGCGTGTCTGACCTCTCACATGACCCTGCTTACTCTTGAGCATTTTCTTACTTCTGGCCCCCTAAGACCTGGCACTCACCCTGGTCTCCTGTCAGTCCTGACCTCAGCCCTTCCCAGTGTCCGGGCACCTCCCACGAGGGTGGTATTTGGGTGCTTCTGCACCTGCGTACAGGATCCTGACCCTTGCCAAGGATGATGTGTGGGCACCTGCAGGGAGGCGGTGGCCCCAGAGCCTGGGGAGGTGAGGCAGGCTGTGGCCCAAAGCTGCTGCGTAGCTCCGAAAGCTGGGAGTGGAGGGCGCAGTGTTTGGCTTATAGCTCTGAACACCCACAGGCGGCACCTCCCGTTTCCTTCTCCTCATGCTTCACCGTAGGTAGATTTCAACCTGTGAGGGGCACTCACGCGGTGGCGTGGTGCTGTTTCCCTGGGTGGGCCGCCTGCAGGGTGTGCAGGCTTCTTTCTACTGCACGAGCTGGTCCGCTCCCTGTGCTCTGGAAGGCCCGGTGCTGAGGCCCTGCCAGCGCTGGCCTTTCTCCACCTCCCCACCAGTTCCTGTCCTCTGGGCACATCCTGTTTCTGTCAGCCTCCCTCCCTCCCTCCCTCCCTCCCTCCCTCCCTCCCTCTCCCTCTCTTCTCCTTCCTTCCTTCCTTCCCTCCCTCCCTCCCTCCCTCCCTCCCTCCCTCCCTCGGCTTGAACTCTGGGCGCTGTCCCTGAGCTCTTCAGCTCAAGGCTAAGGTTCTACCACTTTGAGCCGCAGTGCCACTTGTGCTTTCTGGTGTTTAATTGGAGATGAGAGTCTCACAGACTTTCTTGCCAGGGCTGGTTTTGAACCACCATCCTCAGATCTCATTCTCCTGAGTAGCTAGGATGACAGGCGTGAACCACTGGTTCTAGGCGATGTCTACATATTTCCTTGGTGTCTCTCACCCTATGGCAGGCGAAGAGCATTGTGCCCAAGGCCCTGAGCTGTGTCTGCTCCGTCATAGCCCTTCCTTGGAGCCAGCCACCTCAGGCCCTGCGCTGCCTGATAGCTTGGAGGTCACACTAGTCTGCCACAGCCTTTGGGAGTCTTGAGCCTCTTGGTGCTTAAGATGGTGGGGAGCCAAGCAGGTCATGCGTGAGCACTGTCATGAAGTCTGTTGCTTTGGAGAGTTCCTTTTACTTGATCATTTTTTTCTCTTTTATAGTGCCCTACTCATTGTTACAGTTTTTGACCGAAGCGTGAACTGCAGAAGAGCAGCATCTGTAAGTTTCCTTGTTTAAATGTTTCTTTCCTGAATGTGGAGATTGGCCTGTGCACTGTGAGGTGTATGGCCCCTGTCTTCTTGGCACACCTGCACACTGGCCCGGTGTCCACAACAGATAGCGAGAAGGGCACTGGGGGCTGCGACACGTGTGTGTGTGTGTGTGTGTGTGTGTGTGCGCGTGTGTGTGCGTGTGTGTGTGTGTGTGTGTGGTCCTGATGCCCTGTCCTCACAGGGTCCCTGTCCTGTGACACGTGTGTGTGTGTGTGTGTGCATGTGTGTGTGGTCCTGATGCCCCTGTTCTCACGGGATCCCCGTCCTGTGACACGTGTGTGTGTGTGTGTGCGTGTGTGTGTGTGTGTGTGTGGTCCTGATGCCCCTGGCTGCAGAATATGTGGGCTTTCCATTTTGCTGATGGTTACTTTACCTTGAGCCTTAAGTGTCTGTGTGCCTCTTGGGTCATGTCGGTTTGTAACAATCTGGTCTATGGTCTGATTGGATTGTTTTAACTGAGTTTTGAGAGAGGAGGAAGGGAAAGAGAAGAAGGAAGAGGAGGAGGAAGAGGAAGAGGAGAGAGAGAGAGCGCGCGCGAGCGTGCCGGTACGAGGGCTTGAACTGAGGTTTTTGTTTTGTGTTCTGGTTTTGGGACTAGAACTTAGGGCATCTTGCTCTTTCTTGGCTTATTCTGCTCAAGACTGGGTTGTACCATTGAGTTACAACCTCTCTTCCTCTCTTTCGGACTTTTTTTTTTTTTGGTCCGGTCGTGGGGCCTGAACTCTGGGCCTGGGCGCTGTCCCTCAGCTCTTCAGCTCAAGGCTAGCACTCTACCACTCGAGCCACAGCGCCACTTCCGGCTTTTTTCTTTTTGCTTATGTGGTGCTGAGGAATTGAACCCAGGGCCTCAGGCATGCAAGGCAAGCACTCTACCACTGAGCCACCTTCCCAGCCCTCTTTCGGACTTTTTGCTGGTGAATTGGAGATAAGGTGCTCTTGGGTTTGTCTTCCTGGGCTGACTTCTAAACTTGATCCTCAAATCTCAGCCTCCTGAGTAGCTAGGCTTACAGGAGCAAGCCACCAGTGCCTGGATTAAACTGAGTTTAAGAGCTCTTTGTAGATCATAGTAGTTACCCTTGACGAGATAATGTGGCTTGCAAATATTCCTGCCCACCTCTTCACCCTTCCAGAAGCTCTGTAGCTCCACTGTCTCTTTGCCCTCCTGTCTGTGAGAAGGGGTTTCAGTGTTGAGGCCAGGAACCAGCCTGACTCTCCACCCTGACCATTTGCAGCTATTTTCTGCCTGTGTCAGGACTGCTCTGGGCGTGGTCAGCCTCATGCTGGGCCGCTCCAACCCCCTTCTCCAAGATTCACGTTTTATGCCTTCAGGGTGGCATTAGAGTATGGTTTTGATGATATCTCCAGAGGAGTAAATATATTCCTAAATATTACATTGTATTTTAATTGACAATTGTATTTCCTTTGCATTTTTTCCTTAATTAGTTCATTGCAAAAAAAAAAAAAGAAAGAAAAAAAGCTGCAAAAAGTGTTTCCTCAATGTAAAGGTTACATGGGCCACCTTCCAGTGAGTTCTTTCCGTGGGGAAAGCGGCTGGTTCTCAGTGCTCTTTTGTCTGCTGAGGTTGGTGCATAGACACTGGGGCCTGAACCGTTTAGTACATTTTCTTTCAGTGCATCTGCTGTATTTTGCAGAAGCACTGGCCTGTTAGAGCGTATGCCCAGGCCAGGAGGGGTTCTAACGCCGGCCTTTGGCCGATGCTCCAGACCCTCCTCTCAGCCTGCCTCTGCTGCTGAGGTGAATCACATGGCCAAGTTGCACTCTGCTCTAGCTGTAGGTGAGCTGGTGCCTACTTGTAGCCGTAGTTGGAGAAATCATCCCTAGATGCTTTGGGGAGGGGCTGGGCCTGCTGGTAGAGTAAGGGCCACTGTCACCTTACTAGACAGCCTGCCTTGCCTGGTGGCATTCTCGCACAGTTCAAGGTCGGGGCAGGAGGAAGGCCCTGAGGAATGGTGAGGTATCTTGCAGGGTTCACCTAATTTTGTTTAAGCTCAGATGGGGATCTTGTTGTCAGCCTCTGTTCTGTGCCTGGCATGCAGGACTTGGGCATCCTGTTCAGAGCTGATTGGGGCTGCTAGGTTTTGACAAGCAAGGGCTTTTGTCCTCCTCCTCCTCCTCCTCCTCCCCCCCTCCTCCCGCCCTCCTCCCGCCCTCCCCCTCTCCCCTCCCCCCTCCCCCTCTAGCTGCTTGGTTTGGACAAGCAAGGCTTTCCTCCTCCTCCCCCCTCCCCCCTCCTCCCCCTCCCCCTCCCCCTCTCCTTCCTCCCCTCCCCCTTGTCCCCCTCCCCCTTGTCCCCCTCCTCCCCCCCTCCCCCTTGTCCCCCTCCCCCTCCTCCTACTTCTCCTCCTCCCCCTCCCCCTCCCCCTCCTCCTCCCCTTCCCCTCCCCCTGGTCCCCCTGGTCCCCCTGGTCCCCCTCCTCCCCTCCTCCCCTTCCCCTCCTCCCCCTCCCCCTCCCCCTCCCCCTCTCCTTCCTCCCCTCCCCCTTGTCCCCCTCCCCCTCCTCCTACTTCTCCTCCTCCCCCTCCCCCTCCTCCTACTTCTCCTCCTCTCCCCTCCCCCTCCTCCTCCCCTTCCCCTCCCCCTGCTCCCCTTCCTCCCCCTCCTCCCCCTCCTCCCCTTCCCCTCCTCCCCCTCCCCCTCCCCCTCCTCCTCCCCTTCCCCTCCCCCTGGTCCCCTGGTCCCCCTGGTCCCCCTGGTCCCCCTCCTCCCCTTCCCCTCTTCCCCCTCCCCCTCCCCCTCCTCCTTTTCCCCTTCCTCCCCTTCCTCTTCCTCCCCCTCCCCCTCCTCCCCCTCCTCTCCCCTCCCCCCCCCCCCAAACTGTTGAGGGTGACTGAGAGCTGTCAGAGTCCACAAGGAGGAGTGTTTCAGGTGTTGGCTTTTACTTAGCTGATCTACTGGCATTCTCCATTTTGTATTTCTGGGGCCTTCACAGGGGCTCTGGTCTGAAGCTGTTTTTCCAGTGATAGGCTACTTTCAGGATGTGTCTGATTTTATAAATTGAATTCTTCAATTGTGGTTTTAGAGAGCACCAGGAGGTAAAAACAGTGACAAACCACCCTTGGGGCATGTTCAGCCAACAATGAAGACTTTTATTTAAAAAAATAAAGCCATGGGTCATTTATACTGCACTGTTTGTTTTGAATTTATCTGCTGATGTTTAGCAGAAGCAAACCTCACTCACCTGCTTTGTTTGCTCTTTCTGTTCCTCAGGCTGCCTTCCAGGAGAATGTGGGGAGACAGGTAAGGCCACTTTATAAATCTTTCATTCCCCGAAACTTCCTGTAGGTTTGAAGGTGGGAATCTTGAAAGCTGTGACTTCTCTTGCATTGTTGGATGTGGGTAAAGAATGCAGCTCACAGCAGGCAAGTGTATTTCTGGTCCCAGACTACCTCATGGGCTTGGAGGTACCGATACCTGTATACTGATACGAGACTGTGTGTAAGACGTGTTTCCTGTGGTCAGGTCTGCCCTCACACACCGCTGAGGGCAGTTAGCGGGGTGTGCTGCACCGGTAGAAGCCAGCCCCCTGGTGAAGCAGAAGCCAGCTCCCTTGGTGTTAGTTGTAGTCTTGTTTTCTGGAAACCTCCAGCCCATGACTCCTCCTGATGCTCAGTCGTGTGAGAGCTGTGCTTGGGGGTGCTGGCACGTGTCCTGCCCCCCTGATGGCGATCACAGGTCAGCCTTGCCTCAAGAGTGGGGTCCAGAGTCCAGGCACAGCAGAGTACATGGTCAGGCAGTCAGGAGGATGGGCTGAGGCTGGAGAGCGGTCTGGATCCGGGCCAGACCTGGGCAGGAGGAAGGATCCCTCTGCACACACATCTGAGAACGCTGCTGGGGACCCAGCTCTGGGGTTTGTGATAGCGAGGTGCCTAGGTACTAGTGCCGTTGGAGGCGAGAAGGGGAAAGGAGCAGAGCCGGTCCTGTGGAGGGGTGAGGTGGCGCGCGAAGTATGGGCCCAGACGACGTGTTTGGGATTTGGGACTCGGTATTTGCCATGGGAAGACACATATATGTGGTGAGAGTGTTGGGAAGCTCAGAAGTACAAAGTGAGCTGAGTACTCTTCCTCCTTCCAGGCCTGCCCCTCTAGACAGATGGGTCCTGTCACCAAAACTGACTGCATTCTGTCCACCTGCCTCCTGTCCAAGACTGTCCACACCTAGCCTCCTGCTGCCCCTGTGTGGGCGAGGCAGCGGGGTCCTCCCTTGGAAGAAGAGCTGAGGCACAGTGCCCAGGCCCAGAGTTCAGGCCCCACGACCGACCCCCCCCCCCCCCACACACACACACACACACAAAGATAGGACTTTGAAATGGAAACATTTGAGTTCCAAAAATGAGTTGTTTTAGGGATTTGGATCATTTTGGCTCAAGTGGGCAGGAAGAGTACTGACATACTCCTGTGGCCTGCGTGGTACCGGCCAGTCCTTGTTTCCAAGTATAGATGTGTCCAAGTGGCTCGTGACTTGAGGTACCTTTCTTCATTCCAGCCATTTCTTACTTTTTTTTTTTTTTTTTGTCTCCAATTACTTTTTTTTAAATTAGGGCACTTTCCCTCATGGAATTGATATTTTGACTACAGCTGACTATTTTGCAGTGGGCAGCATATCTAACTGTTTCCTAGTTATAAGGTAAGTTTTAACCTGTATCATACAAATATACTATTCTCTTTGAAAAGATGTCAGAATTCAGCTTCCACCATTTTCTTTCCTCATTCTGGAATATCCACTAAGTGAAAATAATTTATGTGTAAAAAATTAGAAATTGTCCAGGTGGCTACTCAGGAGGCTAAGACCTAAGAATTGCAGTTTGAAGCCAGCCTGACCAGGAAAGTCCATGAGACTCTTATTTCCACTTAAAAAAAAAAGAGCTAGAATTGGTGCTGTGGCTCAAGTGGTAGAGCACCAGCCTTGAATGACAAAGCCAATTTCCAGTCGGGTTTCTTGGGCATGTTCTGTTCGCTGTGCTGTTTGGCTGAGGCAGCGCTGCTCAGGACTCAGGTTCTTCAGGAAATAGCCACAAGCAAAGCTATGTGTGTCCTTCTCCATGACAGCTTTCCTCCCGTTTGCCACAAGTATATTCTCTCTCAAAATGAAACCTGAGATTAGAAGTGACTGTTTTCTGTTTCAATAAAACATGTTTCGAAGCTGAAGCTATCTCTAGGTTACTTATCTGATGTGCAAGAAAAGGATACTCGGGAAATCAGGGCACATAATAAATATTTAACATCCAAACTACAGTTTGCAGAAATCAAATCGAATCATTTCTACTTATATGACCTAAGTACTGGGAAAATTACTTCACTTGCCTTTGTTAACCTATTGCAATGCTAATGTACGTACAGGTTGTGGCTATAAAGTGATTTATATACCTTGAATTAGAAGACACATGCCTGCTGTATTTTTTTAAATTACTATTTTATATCCTCAGGATAGATTCCTTAACAGCCCCACGGTGCAGACCATGCAAACACAATATTTTTCCATAAGTAACTTTGGCAGATTAAAAAAACAAAAGTAATGATTGGCCTGTCTCCTGAGAGGAATTTGGCTGTTTTTTAAAATTATGTTTATTGCTATTAAGGTATTGACCACTTTATTTATTTATTTATTTGTTGGCTTGAACTCTGGGCCTGGGCGCTGTCCCTCAGCTCTTCAGCTCAAGGCCAGCGTTCTACCACTTGAGCCACAGCACCACTTCCGGCTTTTTTTCTTTTTGCTTATGTGGTGCTGGGAAATCGAACCCAGGGTCTCATGCATGCAAGGCAAGCGCTCTACCACTGAGCCATCTTCCCAGCCCTGCATTTTACATTTTTGAAATTCCCAGGGTATGTGAGAGACGAGGTACTCCACTCCTGCACCACAGGGCACCTGGCCAGGGCTTTGCTCCTGAACTGGGTTATCTTTGGACTGTCCAAAGGTTCTGATGCTGTGTGGTGGGTCAGGGCTATGTTCAGATGGCTAGAAATGGGGGCTGAGGAGGGCCTAGAGACTGGCCCACGGAGCAAGGGTGCCCTCAGGGAGTTGTGATTGTGAAGGGCGGGGGGAGGAGAGGAACAAGGGAGGAGGAGAGGAACAAGGGAGGAGGAGAGGAACAAGGGAGGAGGAGAGGAACAAGGGAGGAGGAGAGGAACAAGGGAGGGGGAGAGGAACAAGGGAGGGGGAGAGGAACAAGGGAGGGGGAGAGGAACAAGGGAGGAGGAGAGGACAAGGGAGGGGGAGAGGAACAAGGGAGGGGGAGAGGAACAAGGGAGGGGGAGAGGAACAAGGGAGGAGGAGAGGAACAAGGGAGGAGGAGAGGAACAAGGGAGGAGGAGAGGAACAAGGGAGGGGGAGAGGAACAAGGGAGGAGGAGAGGAACAAGGGAGGGGGAGAGGAACAAGGGAGGAGGAGAGGAACAAGGGAGGGGGAGAGGAACAAGGGAGGGGGAGAGGAACAAGGGAGGGGGAGAGGAACAAGGGAGGGGGAGAGGAACAAGGGAGAGGGAGAGGAACAAGGGAGGGGGAGAGGAACAAGGGAGAGGGAGAGGAACAAGGGAGGAGGAGAGGAACAAGGGAGGGGGAGAGGAACAAGGGAGGGGGAGAGGAACAAGGGAGAGGGAGAGGAACAAGGGAGAGGGAGAGGAACAAGGGAGGGGGAGAGGAACAAGGGAGGGGGAGAGGAACAAGGGAGGGGGAGAGGAACAAGGGAGGGGGAGAGGAACAAGGGAGGGGGAGAGGAACAAGGGAGAGGGAGAGGAACAAGGGAGGGGGAGAGGAACAAGGGAGAGGGAGAGGAACAAGGGAGGGGGAGAGGAACAAGGGAGAGGGAGAGGAACAAGGGAGGGGGAGAGGAACAAGGGAGAGGGAGAGGAACAAGGGAGGGGGAGAGGAACAAGGGAGGGGGAGAGGAACAAGGGAGAGGGAGAGGAACAAGGGAGGGGGAGAGGAACAAGGGAGAGGGAGAGGAACAAGGGAGGAGGAGAGGAACAAGGGAGGGGGAGAGGAACAAGGGAGGGGGAGAGGAACAAGGGAGAGGGAGAGGAACAAGGGAGAGGGAGAGGAACAAGGGAGGGGGAGAGGAACAAGGGAGGGGGAGAGGAACAAGGGAGGGGGAGAGGAACAAGGGAGGGGGAGAGGAACAAGGGAGGGGGAGAGGAACAAGGGAGAGGGAGAGGAACAAGGGAGGGGGAGAGGAACAAGGGAGAGGGAGAGGAACAAGGGAGGGGGAGAGGAACAAGGGAGAGGGAGAGGAACAAGGGAGGGGGAGAGGAACAAGGGAGAGGGAGAGGAACAAGGGAGGGGGAGAGGAACAAGGGAGGGGGAGAGGAACAAGGGAGAGGGAGAGGAACAAGGGAGGGGGAGAGGAACAAGGGAGGGGGAGAGGAACAAGGGAGGGGGAGAGGAACAAGGGAGGGGGAGAGGAACAAGGGAGGGGGAGAGGAACAAGGGAGGGGGAGAGGAACAAGGGAGGGGGAGAGGAACAAGGGAGGGGGAGAGGAACAAGGGAGGGGGAGAGGCCTGATGGGTATCAGAGCAGGCTTCGTTGCTGTCTCCCTGTGCTGCGCCTGGGGCCTTGGAGACCGGACAGAGAAGAGGCTCTGTGGGAAGCTGGGTGTTTGACCAGAATCAAAACTAAACAAAGATCCCTTGGAGAGATGGCAGGAGAAGCAGCACAGCTCTCTTAGGGCTGTGTTAAAGTGCTCACGACGCACAAGCTGTGTGTGTTCAGTGTGTGCATCTTGGCAACTTTTGACCTGAGTGAGTCTGTACCTGTCACCACGGTAAAGGCGGACAAGGCCTGCTTGCCTCAGGCAGCTCCAGCCTGCTGCCACGTGACAGAAGCTGGGGTCCTAGCTCATCTAGCCAAGGCTCCCAGGCTGCTTTTCGCTTGGCCTGCCAGTGTGACCTTCTGGGTTGTCGCTGCAGAGGCTCCTTTGTGAGGGACATCTGGGGTGTTGAGGGTGACATTTCAGGGGACATCTGCCATTTGAAGTACGTGATTGCCAGTCCCGAGTAGCGCAGATACCTGGGTCCCGAGTTATTACAATGGCCAGACAGTTTTCCAGTGTGGCCCATCATTCAGAGGGTTCTAGACCTGTCTCCCTTGTGTGGAGTGCTTTTTCTCAACTGTATCTGTATCTGAGGGATGTGGTGTGATCCCTCTCCAGTGTCTCTGTGTCAGTGTCTCCATGTCTGCATTATGGAGTATGATCCCTCTCCAGTGTCTCTGTGTCAGTGTCTCCGTGTCTGCATTATGGAGTGTGATCCCTCTCCAGTGTCTCTGTGTCAGTGTCTCCATGTCTGCATTATGGAGTGTGATCTGTCTCCAGTGTCTCTGTGTCAGTGTCTCCATGTCTGCATTATGGAGTGTGATCTGTCTCCAGTGTCTCTGTGTCAGTGTCTCCATGTCTGCATTATGGAGTGTGATCTGTCTCCAGTGTCTCTGTGTCAGTGTCTCCATGTCTGCATTATGGAGTGTGATCCCTCTCCAGTGTCTCTGTGTCAGTGTCTCCGTGTCTGCATTATGGAGTGTGATCCCTCTCCAGTGTCTCTGTGTCAGTGTCTCCGTGTCTGCATTATGGAGTGTGATCTGTCTCCAGTGTCTCTGTGTCAGTGTCTCCGTGTCTGCATTATGGAATGTGATCCGTCTCCAGTGTCTCTGTGTCAGTGTCTCCGTGTCTGCATTATGGAGTGTGATCCGTCTCCGGTACCTCTGTGTCAGTGTCTCCGTGTCTGCATTATGGAGTGTGATCCGTCTCCGGTGCCTCTGTGTCAGTGTCTCCGTGTCTGCATTATGGAGTGTGATCCGTCTCCAGTGTCTCTGTGTCAGTGTCTCCGTGTCTGCATTATGGAGTGTGATCCCTCTCCAGTGTCTCTGTGTCAGTGTCTCCGTGTCTGCATTATGGAGTGTGATCCGTCTCCAGTGTCTCTGTGTCAGTGTCTCCGTGTCTGCATTATGGAGTGTGATCTGTCTCCAGTGCCTCTGTGTCAGTATCTCCATGTCTGCATTATGGAGTGTGATCCGTCTCCAGTGTCTCTGTGTCAGTGTCTCCGTGTCTGCATTATGGAGTGTGATCCCTCTCCAGTGTCTCTGTGTCAGTGTCTCCGTGTCTGCATTATGGAGTGTGATCCGTCTCCAGTGTCTCTGTGTCAGTGTCTCCGTGTCTGCATTATGGAATGTGATCCGTCTCCAGTGTCTCTGTGTCAGTGTCTCCGTGTCTGCATTATGGAGTGTGATCCGTCTCCGGTACCTCTGTGTCAGTGTCTCCGTGTCTGCATTATGGAGTGTGATCCGTCTCCGGTGCCTCTGTGTCAGTGTCTCCGTGTCTGCATTATGGAGTGTGATCCGTCTCCGGTGCCTCTGTGTCAGTGTCTCCGTGTCTGCATTATGGAGTGTGATCCGTCTCCGGTGCCTCTGTGTCAGTGTCTCCGTGTCTGCATTATGGAGTGTGATCCGTCTCCGGTGTCTCTGTGTCAGTGTCTCCGTGTCTGCATTATGGAGTGTGATCCCTCTCCAGTGTCTCTGTGTCAGTGTCTCCGTGTCTGCATTATGGAGTGTGATCCGTCTCCAGTGTCTCTGTGTCAGTGTCTCCGTGTCTGCATTATGGAGTGTGATCCGTCTCCAGTGTCTCTGTGTCAGTGTCTCCGTGT